AACTTGGTGTTCAGAAGAGATGGAATTCTATACGTCCCGCGAAAATCCTCTAAAATATCATGTAAGCATTAGCTTATTGCTTTTCGTAAGCATTTATTCGTAATCACGCTCGAACTCATCACTTGCGCCAGCCAATCAAGATATAAGAAAACTAATACAAACGTGTATCATGATATAAAAGCTACATGATAGTATATTTCTGTGCAAATACATCTTCTTATTTTACTGCATGATTCGTAGAGAGCAGCCAACAAAAATATGATATGCATTCGCATTATTATGAGTAGTTTGATAAATACAAATCAAATATTTTATATTTATTTGTTGATCAGTAAAAAGGTAGAGAATTTATGGTACGGCTCATTAAATCTCTCTGCTACTCCCCTGTCATAGGTTGAACCCAATGTATCTTGGCTAGTGTCGACACTTAGGCATTGTAATGTGATTACTGATTGTAAGTGTGACTTCGCACAGACAGGTACTTACTTAATTACTGGTGGTAGGAAATCTTGTTAGTCCGCACGGGTAGGTTACCACCTCCTGCCTATAGCAGCCGTGAAGCAGTAATGCATTCCGGTTTGCAGGGTGGGGCACCCGTGTACTGTAAAAACTGAGACTTAAAACTCATGTCTCAAAAAGACTAATAAACACCAGGTGGACAGAGAGCTCATTAACCTATATCTATATATATAAAAATTAATTGTTGTTCGTTAGTCTCGCTTAAACTCGAGAACGGCTGGACCGATTTAGCTAATTTTGGTCTTGAATTATTTGTGGAAGTCTAGAGGAGGTTTAAAAGGTAGATCAATATGAAAATGCTCGGAATTAAATAAAAATAACAATTTTGTTTTTCCTTTGATGTGTCTCCCGTCGGACGGATTCCTTTTGTTTGTTTTAAGTTTATTTTATACAAAAGTTTAGGTCTTTTATTTATCGATTGAGGCACTACGAAGTCTGCCGGGTCAGCTAGTTAACAATAAAAAAAAGAATGTTTGCAAATGTTGACATACTAGAAGTTCACCACTAAACGATCCAACTGATTAAAAGGATTACTGGAGTCCGAAGACATCCATTTTAATTTTACGACTTGCCAACTATTTTGAATAAAACGATCATGTGTTTTAAAAATAGAACAGAGTAGAAACAGCGTCTTGCACCTTGTAAAGCATTCTTCCACCTCAGAAAATTTACTTAACGCTAAAGAATTCTTGGATAGCATTTTATAGCAGACGCTCTGAAGAATTCATAAACGCGCGTCCAATTCTCAAGCATTACCAAGAGCAGCTCTACGCTAAGCGGACACTTGAAGCAGCTTGACTTTAAATCCGCGAAGAAATACCTCGAAAGTTTTCTACGAAAGATCTTGTAAATGCTTTGAAAATAGAAAGTTCAAAAAACAAAAAATAACATTTGTGACTTTTATGTTTTTGGAACGAAGTTCCTTACGGTACGATGCGGAGGGGTACCCTAACCGTGAAAAAACGTCCGTAACGTAAGGCTTTTATTAGTAGTACACACAGTGTATGACTTAACTTTGTAATAACGTACAAAAAATAACATTTTTTTTTATCATTCATTGACCACGATCTCAGAGCGTTCGTTTGCGCAATACACTAACTCTTATGCAAAAAATCGTGAATGAAGTGTACCACAATAATTTCGCACGTTACCGAATGACCGTGGGTTGTTGCGAAAATTCCAGTTTTATTTTCTTTATACCTCGAATAGAACTTAAAATTAATATTTTTATAATAAGGAACTTCGTTCCTATCCGGTGTCCCACGACACCACACATTTTTTTTATTTCTTTTTATGCACTGGAAGAGGTAGCGTGGGTAGGTTAAGACGCGGATCTGCTAAAGGTTGCGTGAACTAGCTGAATGCGTCATCGGTTATGCTAAAAGGTCATTACGGCGATCTTTGGTGATGCATATGTCTAGCAGTAAACATTCGTGGGTTGATGACGATGAGGACTACATGTTTTATACGGGAAAGGACTGGTAACTCACTTGGCACCAGTTGGTTTCCCGACTCCATAGACATTGGAGCTTGCATGCTGTCACTAACTTTGGAAATTACAACGCAGTCCCTATTACAGTGTAGATACCACTGTCAAGCCGCTGAAATATCCTTCCTCTGACGTATAGTGAGTTAATGGACGATGTAGATTTTAGATATCGTTGAATTTCCGATATGACCAAAATTTGGCGATTATTTAATGTCCTTACTAATGATTACTATAGTAATAAATAGTTACGTCAAATTTGACTAATAATTGTTGATTTTAATTAAGTTTCGTGTAAAATTGATTGAGCGTCCTTACGTACTCTTAGCCTATAATTATGCTCTTTTCTAAACTGGAATGTAATATAACGCGGCAGCAATCGCTCCTGGCCTTTTCATTTTTCATTATTATTATTATTTATTTGAATTGTATTTTTATAAATAAAGTAAATATTATAAGTAAATATTTTTTCTTATTTAAAAAAAAAAAAGAAAATATTTGAGAAAATCCAAAAAAAAAAGCTCGCTGAGTTTGTTTCGCCTGTTCTTCTCAGGACTGTGGCTTTTTTTGGAACCGGTGGTAGAGTTAACATTTTTATTTATATTTTGACATTCAACAAGTGTGTTTTTGATGACATCCAAGTTAAAATAAATGATTTTGAATTTGAAATTGAATTTGAAATAGGAAAAATAGTGGTCCTGAACCCTTGAACATAGCGCTAAGTACAATTCCGTAGAATAGCAAATTGGTACTTAGCACGTAAATCTTTTTTTTTCAAAGATAAACAAAACGAGGTTACCCAGATATTAAATTTTCAATTGCTATTCACCGCTGACGCGTTCTATTACGGAATTAACTTTTACGAATAAATTGTACTTTTATCAGGAACGTGCGACCGTATCTCCAGAATATCGCGGAATGGAGTGTCACCTTTAAGCGTATTAGCAAAAAAGTTGATTTTGTTTGAAATAAAAATTACATAATATGACTTGAAAGCTTAAGAAATTATCGTTGAAGAATACGAAAATTTAAATATCTTTTGGCAGATTTGCTGAGTTAGGCTGACTTAGAAAAAAATAAATGTCGAAAGAAAATGACATCTCGACCTGAATAAGATTTCGCTAGAAAATTTGCGATTCCATTTATTTTTCATAGCTATGACTGCCATGATCTCGTCCAGCTACTTCCAATTCATTCGCCAACTCCATCCAAATGTTCACGATTGACTTCCACGGTGAAGGAATAACATCGTGTAATAAAAAATTAAACCCGCAAAATTGTAATTTGCGTAATTACTGGTGGTAGGACCTCATGTGAGTCCGCACGGGTAGGTACCACCACCCCGCCTATTTCTGCCGTGAAGCAGTAATGCGTTTCGGCTTGAAGGGTGGAGCAGCCGTTGTAACTATACTAAGACTTTAGAACTTATATGTCAAGGTGGGTAGCGCATTTACGTTGTAAATGTCTATGGGCTCCAGTAACCATTTAACACCAGGTGGGCTGTGAGCTCGTCTACATATACCAGCAATAAAAAAAAAAAAAACCTCCAACTTAATCTCACTAATAAACCTATAAATTGCTAAATGCCTATTTTCTTTAAGGTGGATGAAAACCATAGTGCATAATCCCCGTTCTAATCAAAGGAGCAGATTTTTTATCAATGAAAATGAGGATATAACTATTTATCATCAGTCGGGCCGGATTGGATGAGAGAAGCCGAGGATCGTACTCTGTGGCGAGCAATTGAAGAGGCATATGTCCAGCAGTGGACACTTAAGGGCTGATAACGATGATGCGCCGGCCACTAATACTAGTTATTCAATTAGCTAACTAGTCTACAATCACTGCACTACACTTTACAGCAATTCTATTTAGTGTTATCACAACTTTTTGATTCGAAAATTATATTCCAGTTATACAGGCGGTACACAGTCCTTCTGGTGGTGATAAGTGGTAGCTTGCACACATAGCTGTAATGTAAATGTCACCACTGGCCTCGAAATACTTTAAAGTCGAAGTCTTAATAGGATTGTGTTACGGCCGTCTCAAAATTCAAATTTTTTTTATTGCATATATGAGTGGACGATCTCACCATAGATAATACACATAAATTAATTCTAAATAAGCAACTCAAGCACTCAATAAAAATGTTTACGGACGTCGGCCACTAGATGGCTTCGCTTCGATTTGTTTCTCATTGCTCCTGTAGATGGCAGTAACATATTGCCTATCTTATATTTGATTTTTAATGAAGTATTTTGTAAATTTTCAGAAACCACAAATTGATAAAATTTAGTCAATTTGTCTTTAACAAATAAAGACTTGTATGATTTATTATTATTTTTTATTTTCTGTGTTTAGTAATACTATGATTATATGCCATAACTTTAACAACATATAAGTTTAGGAGCATCCGCTAAAAGACGTCGATAGTTTCCGTACAAAAGAATCAGTTGTCTGTAAAGTCGGTTTACTGACGACAGTTGAACGTGACAACGTCATAAGAAAATACTGATGGTATGGTTTCATTTTTCAAAAGAAAATTTTAGTTTTATTTGTCTGATAGATATTTTGTATGGACAATTGACACCACATTCACTTTTCACTGAACTTCATACTTGACGAAAACATGTAAATGTATTATTGTATAGCAGCTGTCCACGCGGATGCATCGCTCACTCAAGTAGGAGAGAGACAGATGTCGAACGCTGCCGAACGCTGAGGCCGATTGTGCCTCTTTGTCGCTCGTTGCGCGCTCTCGCTTGCACTTCAAGCCTTAAATGGAACGCCTCAGAGCGAGGTAACTCCGCATGAGTCATGTTTTTTCGTGCGTGCAGCCGGCTCCATCAAATTATAGGACATTGTCCCGTCAAAAAATATTTGTCTTAAAGTCTCCCAGTTTCAGAGCCCTGACAAAGCCCCCATTAAGTAGGTAAGGGTTAAGATTTGTTGTTATAATAAAAAAAACACAATTTTTATTTGTTTACAGGTTCGAAGATGGACATAAAAGACGTCTTCGCTCTGGCTTTGATTTTAATTTTAAATATTGGTAAGTCACTTTTTCTTATTAATTTTATTAAAACGTATACCCATCGATAGTGCTTGTTAATAAGAAGATAGCTTCTAGAAAAATCTTGCTTTCATTTTTTGCATTATCGTCAATTTAAGATAATTCAAAACTGAACGCATCCTAATTATGTGATCTCCTAGATTCTAGACTAACAATATACTTAAAAAGAAGTTAATTATGTAACTATTGTTATTGTATTTTAGTTTTGTTTTATTATTTTATTGTAATTTGTAACTATACTGATACCTTAAAACTTATATCTCAAGATGGGTGGCGCATTTCAGTTTTAGATGTCTATGGGCTCCAGTAACCACTCCACCAGGTAGGCTGTGAGCCCGTCTAGCCACTTAAGCAATAAAAAAAATTGTAGTTTAAAAACAAATTATATTTTAGATTGTATGTGTGTAGTATATATTATTATATAGAACACTAGCGGTCCGCTCCGGCTCCGCTCGGGTCTTTAACAAAAATTTCAACGATATTTGAGGTTGTTTTATTTAAAAAAATAAAAGAGCACTTATTGCGGCATAACTATAATAGTTAGACATATTATTATGCTGTCGCGACACTTTTGCAGATAATAATGTGTTCTACAAAGTCGTAGTACATTATTTTATTTTATCATCAATAGTTTTCGCAGGGCACGCGATGTAAATAATATTTTAGGTAATTTTTTTACACCTTCGGTTACATTATTGGAGTTTTAGTAAGGATCCTTAATTTTGTTCAAAAAAGATTATAACCTTTGTCACTCGGGAATAGTGTAGCTTCCAAACAGTGAAAGAATTTTTCAAATCGGTTCAGTAGTTTCGGAGCCTATTTAATACAAACAAACAAACAAATCTTTCCGCTTTATAATATTATATTAGTATAGAAGTATAGATAAATTAAAATGGATATGCTAAGTTTTAAGAGATTTTTTTCATCAATTCAAATTGTTTATCAAAACCGCCAGCTGATGCAGCCACGGCAGAAGTTTCGATACCGCTTTTCTGAACTTTTAATTGAGCTACGAAATGAAATTTGCGCACGGATCGGTTCTTTGTTTGTCCCTCAAATATCATAGCGTTTATATTGCACTGGTGGCCTATTTGATTTTAAACAGCTACCCGAGCCAATAGAGATCGGAACCTGAACGCTAATCTTCAGACGTGAGGTCGTAGTCTCAAACAAAATGTAGAAAAGCTGCCTCGGTCTCTAAAAGGAATCGACCGCAAGGGTAGGTACTACCGCCCCTCCTATTTCTACCACGAAACAGTAATGCGATGCGGTGGTTGAAGATTCGAACAGATGTTATACTATACAATTGAGACATCTCATGTCTTCAGTTGGGTGGTGGTATTCACATCCGATCTATAAGGCTAAATAAACAACCGTCTCCGCGGTACGGCGGCCCTACCAGGCCGCCCGGGCGGTGCCGCTGGTGTTCCGGGATACCCCGCTGGGCCAGAACCAGCCTGCCGGGTCGGAGCGCGATACACCGCCGACCGGGTTGCTCTTCAACAGTATGTTCGGCGACGACAGCGACGACGAAAATGCGGACCGCATCGCAGTCCGCAGCCGCCGACCCGCCATCCCGTCCTCCTGGTGCCAGCGCGCTAGAGTGACGGTAGCGTGCGGCGCAGCCTCAACCCCCTTAGGTCGCCCCGTGACCATCACCGGGAGGAGACTGCCTCCTCATAGGGGCTGGAGCTGGACAAACGCCCTCCTCCGACCCCCGGCCCGACGGCGGCGGCACGGCGCCGAGAGGGAAGAAATTCCTTCACCCGCCTTAAGCAATAAACGAATAAAAACTCCTACTTTTACTGGTGGTAGTACCTCTTATGAGTTCCCGCGGGTAGGTATCATCACCCTGCCTGCGTTTCGGTTTGAAGGGTGGGGCAGCCTATACTGAGACCTTAGAACTTATATCTCAAGGTAGGTGGCGCATTTACGTTGTAGATGTCTAGGGGCTCCAGTAACTACTTAACACTAGGTAGGCTGTCAGGACGTCCACCCATCTAAGCAATAAAAAATAAAAACGTTTTTTAATGTTTTCCTGCCAACAAAGCGACGGCAAGTTATAAAGAAAAGTTGTAAGTATCAAAATCCTTCCCTTTAAAGTTAATCCCATTATTTGTAAACAAATTCTTAAATAGCTTTCTGCGTCACTCAGGGTTTTTTGGTTGATGTTTCAGCAAAAAATCTTAAATTTTCTATCCTGCGTAAGGTAAACCAGTGCTGGAAACCGTTGTGTTGTTTTCGGGCTTCAGTAACCACTTAACAGCAGGTGGGCTGTGAGCTCGTCCACCCATCTAAGCAATAAAAAAAAAAGTTTTTGACCGGTTCTTCTCAGCGGGTCGCGATTCCGATCCGGTAGTAGATTCATTCGCGAAGCAGTTGCTCTTGAGTTGCTAGGTCTCCCTTGGAGGCGCTCGGGTAGCTGTTAGCAAATCTCACCCCTTCTGGCTGAGCCCTTGCCCGCCCACCTATCCTTATGAAACTGGAAAGGCCTTTGGGCCACCAGTAAACTATCAATCATAAAAAAAAACTATATCATAAATCACGTTACATACGACTGTCGCTATATTCAAATTTTAACTGGAAAATACGTAGCACCTGCTGAGATTTCCGTCTGTAAAAATATCCCGAAAAATAAAAAAAAAAACAAAAAAAAATAGAAAAACAATAAACATTCATTCCTTTGTTAAAACAGCACTCATAAACGCATCGAGGTGTACAAATTTTAATGAGTTGAACATTGTACGCTTCCCGTTTTTTATCGTTGTTTCCGTCGCGACGGCGATATTCCGTTTCGGGAAATACTTTTTCTGTCAGACGCTTGTTAACTTCGTGTTTTGATGTGAAACATCTATAGCCGCACGTAAAACCGATTTCTGGCGTGGCGACGCATGCCGTGGCGACGCGTCGCCATGCTATATAATGGTATATATATACAGTCTATATGTAGTAGTGTGTACGGTGTGGCGACGCGTCGCCATGCGCAATCGACTATGCGATTCTCTCCCACTCGATCCGGCGTTAAGCCATCTCTCTCGCTACACTAAGCACGGATACCTATAGTGTATACTCCGTAGTGTATACAGTGTTGTTTACACTGAGTGAACACATAACCTGTGTTTTACTTGAAAACAAATTATTTTTTCGTAATATTTTATTTTATCATTATGACATATTTAGTTCCTACCACAATCTGTTCGTTTCTGCATATTACTTTTACAAAATAATGTCGATGTTTCACATCTGCCAGGCGTCCCGTGACGGCTCACCTTTTTTTTTTAGAGAGCAGCTTTGTATCCTTTTTTTTGTCAGGAGGAAATCACCGAACTTCCGCCCTCCACTGGGGATGGAGGGCGGGGCATGTCGGAGTTGGAACGACTAAAACCTCCTGTCGCTCAACAACCAGCATCCAAACCTCGCATGAGACAGAACTCATGAAAAGGCAAAGGGGGGAAAGTGAAGCGTTTAGTGCGGGGCACAACTCTCCCATCACCCTCCCCCAGCTAACGGGTTCGGGGACATCCCGAAGCGAATTCTGGTAGTTCCAATCGAAATTACTAGACGCTCTATTGAATTGTGCCTGATTTATATTCTTGATGGTTTTAATGGTGTAACAGCCAATAACCTTGTCTAGTGGACTTAATCGCAGGTCAGCTACCGATCGGAGCCGGAATTTCCTTAAAAATATAACTTAGCTAGCCGTACTCGTCCGCTTTACTGGGCATTTCAAATTAACATTATTATTTATTGTCATTATCATTAGACAGTCCAACACTCATAAAATATTAGCCTATCCATTAAGTACATGTATTTTTACATGGATATAAAGTTTCAAGTCAATCGGATGTATGGTTCAGTAGTTATAACGGAACATCCGTAAAAACCACTGTGGATTTATATATTACTAGCGACCCGCCCTCGCTTCGCTTCGGAAACATTAAACACACATGAAACCAAAAAAAAAAAAAAAAAATTTTTTTTAAAAAAGTAGCCTATGTTCATCAGGTACAATGTCGGCTTCTAATGGAAAAAGAATTTTTCAAATCGGTCCAGTAGTTTCGGAGCCTATTCGAAACAAACAAACAAACAAATCTTTCCTCTTTATAATATTAGTATAGATATAGATATAGATAGACTATACAAGTATTAATGTTGTGAGTCTTCGGGCTACGGTGACCAGTTTACAGCAGACGAACTGTGAGCACGTTTATATTTACGCAATAAATAAATAAATAATATTTTGGTATACGGATCTGGGCATGCTTGTCTCTTTCGGGTTTTCAGTGCACGTAACACAAGAGAAAATGCGTAACAAGTATCAAGAATGCTTATTTGCTATTTCCGACTGAAATTGGGAGAACGAACTGACAGTCTACTTATAATTAAAGTGTCCTATAACGAAATGAACAAAAACCTTCATCTTCACTACATAGTAGCTGTATTTGACTAAAGAAAGAATTTTTGGAACGAAGTTCCTTATGGGACGATGCCCTTACCGGGAAAAAACGTCCGTAACGTAAGATTTTTATTATCTATGTATAGTCTTAGTATGATGGCTGTATAGTGTCTAATGTATAGTCTACGTGATGACGGTTGTTATTATTAATATTCATATAAATAGCTGTTTCTTTGTATAATATATTATTTTTATATATTTTTTATAAATCGTTCTGAATAAAATAAAGTTAATAACTTTGTAAAGTAGTTTTTTTTTTTAACAATAAAAAAATCATAATAAAAAATGTATACCTAAATAATTATTTTCTTTATACCTTGAATAGAACTTAAAATTAATATTTTTATAATAAGGAACTTCGTTCCTATCCGGTGTACCACGACACCACACACCTTTTTTTTTTCACAAACTTTGCATCCATTGAATTCAACTAAAGACTACCGTAACCACTTAACCGCAGATGGGTCGTCAGCTCGTCCACCCATCTAAGCAACTGAAAAATCTTTAAAGACGCTGTCGAACA